GCGGCATAACCATTTTTCAAGCGACAATCCGTCGCATTTGCCCCATCTCTGAACTCGACATATTACCTGTCACAATACCTTAATTTACTATATTCATATATAGTATTATACTTTTATTAATGAAAATTTGTACTATGTTAGTACAGAAAGTTTTTGGACAATAATTCAGTTTGCTTGAATAATTTGTAATTCTCAGTTTGAAGATAATGAGTATTTGATTTAATTAAAATAGTATAAGAAATTTCGAAAAGTAAGCAATAAATTAAAATATGTCAGAAAAACATGTAATAATAGATAATTTTTTACTATATATCATCAATTAGAAGCAACCTATCCAATTTTGTATAAAGATTATATCTTATTAATAAGATTTGATCAAATTATAAACACCCTCTTTAGCTTGAAAATTGATATACATTATAAAAAATTCGGTATCAACGATTACTTGCTTAGTTTATTAAACATGCAATCAATGAACATGGGTTATGTAATTCTAAGATTGCACAACGCGAAGCATAAAATGTTAGATTGTTATTATCTCAAAATCATTATACTAATCAATGCTAACATTTTATAATAATTGTTTTGTAATGACTATGTAAAGGAACATCCCGTTAACACAATTCTTTTTAACCAAACTGAAAATCCTTGTTTAATAAATACAGAAATGTTAATTAGATGAATCCAATTCATTAGATTCAGATTCATCGACTATAGTATATAATTCTCGCGATTTGATGGCCTCACGAGGTAGTTCCGGCAATGCCATCATCAAGTCATAATTGAACGTTACCACCGGCTGCCTGTTTAGTAATGATCTAATTAATGTGCCACTTGTACAAACTGTTTCACGGAAATATGTTGTTAGTCGCAATGCATTTCCTACATTTTCTTCAAGATCAGAGCCCATAAGATTGAATGACAACACATCATCATGAACGTATATAAGTGATGATTGTTGCTGATTGTACATTGGAATTAGTGTACTTAAATGGATGGTCGTACCATTAACCAGTCCGATGTGGAGGCACATTTCATTTACCTCTTCTTCAGTCGGGTGGTGTATAAAACTCAGAAGCCTGTTAAACTCGTAAACAGCCTCTGCAACCACCACGACGGAATCTTCAAATCCATTATTTCCGAATTTGACCAAAAAAAATGGAAATTGAAGATCGAACTGGTTATTTACGACCGCCGCAAAATCCGATCTTGATGAGCCCTGACCCGCATTTCCGGAAATCAGGTGTTGAAACTCCCATGTTGGAAGGAGTTTCGAGTGGTGAATCGAAAATACCGCAGAAAAGATCTTCGACCATAATTCAATTTTAACGTGGCTTTCGGAAGGACTGCTGCCAACGCCGCGGCAAGGTGTATGTTTATATAGAATGATGGCCAAAATCACAGAAACGACCGTTAAGTCATCGATATCATAATAGTTTATTTCCTTATTATAAAATAGCAACCTTATAAAACTGGCAGGTGAGATTTCACGAGAATGAATTATGCCCTTATCATAAAGTGACCACAGTGCTGTGGTGATTGACTTAAGTTGGTTATTGGGATGCTGTTCAAAGGTGGCAGAAACGGATTTGATCTTAATTCGTGGTGTTGATATAATATTGAATCTACGTTTACCGTTCCAACCCGCTTTTATAAATGTTTCGTAATTTACCACCGACCATTTTAACATGGCAATGAAATGCCGAGCGCGTTGCGACACTTCATCCACATTATGAAATTGTAAGTCGGAAATCAACCTGCAATATTTTTTCACACTATTATGTTTTCCTTTGTGGATTATTCTTCGCGTCGCATAATTGGGCGTGGTTATGTTATCAACATTTCTATCATTTTCGTTCGCCCTCTTCTTTCCTCTCTGGATAAATGACATGGACGCTTGATATGATGACTCTCCACTTTCTTGATCCTAGAGAATTCCGGAATAATCAAAAAATTTAATAATAATGTTTATTAAGTAGTATAATTCAATGAAGTCACATTCGCCATATTGTTTCATAAGATACCTTTTCACTGTATCGAAACAATAGCTTGGGCAAATTTACAAAAGGCAATTTAATTGTAAAGGGTTTAACCAATATTTGAAAATATCCTACCTTATCTGGTTCTGAATCTTGACTTTGCATGTTGTCTCTCCTAATGTTTGCTGTAAAATATGTTTTTTCTCTCATATTAGTTTTCGTTTAAACTTTGGAAAGATTTGAGAATATTACTTTTGGTATTGTTTACATCAACGATATCAAACGACCTCTTTTTATATGGTCAAATTGTGTGTAACAACAACAACGAAGCGGAGTCTAAGCACGTGACACACGATAAATACGTATGATTTATTGGTTTATATACGTATAAAAGATAGATAGATGCGTATAGAGTAGAGTCAAAATGGTAAAACAAAGCTCGAATCACTAACTCTACTATCTATAAACCCAGGTTGATATCTATAGTTAATAAATCCATATGCTTTAACAAACCAAGTCGACTTAAAAATATCTTAAATATAAAGCATAGACCTTATACGCGAACAAGCTTATTTTCTTCAAACACCTAACTTGAAATCTTAAGCTTTAAGAAAAAAGACAACTGCTTTGTTAATAACTACTTTTGTTTTGTGCATTTTGAAATTTAGACATAGCTTTTTTTCTTTACCTCTTGCGGAAAGTCGTGTCTAAGCCAACCTCTCTTAAATTAGAGATTATTAGAGATTATTTTTAAAGTTAGTTTTCTAAAACATATAAATAAGTTACCCGGGCAATTGATTTACATTAGCCAATCAGACGAATTTCTGGCTATGACACCTGATTAGTTGTCTATCCTTGAATTTTTATTGGCTGATTAGGTAACCGTCAATATGATTGTATTTTCATACTAATTAGCCAATAAAAATTCAAGGATCGACAACCTTGTCACATGTAAAATTTTTTAATAGTAGGTCAAATGATTGACGCATCCAAATTTTATAAGTAAAATTTGTATAAAATTTACTTTCTAACCAAAAAAAAGCTGTCAGTTTAATTTCTGGGTATAAGTTTATAAATTCTTTAACATTATAAGGTTCTTTCTGTGAAATTTCAAAAGTGGTTAAAAATAAATATTTAAATAATCTAGTTCACAAAGTTGGCCAATTTTTTTACGATTTTTTTCTTTGTTTATAAGTTATGCAGGTGATATACATCAATTATTCCAAAATAAGTAATATGAAAACATTTATGTACTAAATTTTTTTAATTACATAAACAATTAGTAAAAATTGTAAAAATATTGGCTAACTTTATTGGTTAGATTATTTAAAGATTTATTTTTAACCATCCTTGAAATTTCACAAGATGAACTTTATAATTTTGAAGAATTTATAAACTTATACTCAAAAATTAAACTAATAGTTTCTTTTTGGTTAAATAATTACAGAAAATAAATTTTGTACAAATTTTACTTATGAAATTTGGATGTGTTAATCAATTGACCTTATATTAAAAAAATTTACTTCATAATTTGCATGACAAATTGTGTATCTATTAATCATACTTTCAAAAATATAAAACATAGTAGTCTAAACCTACCTCAGGTTATAGTTAGTAATAGAATTACTGAATTATAGCATTATAGCATTCTACTATATGATAGAATTAATTTTATTACAGTGTCTAATTGCTATAAATATTATATATCATAATGATATAACCATAATGTCATAACTGTAATGTAATAACTAGCATTAATTAAAATTTAGCATATTTATATAAACTAATTAAACTTAAGATTTTGCAAACATACTTATTTAAAACACCTTATAAGCTATACACTTTATGATTTTATTATTCCATTCCTGGTAATGCTTTTAATAAAATTCAAATATAATTAAATTAAATTTGTCTAATATCAAATAAAGGTTTTTTTGTTTTCATTTGGCAACACATAAATATAAATATTATCTTTTGCTATTGATTTACAACATAGTTCTAATATCTACAATAAAAGGTAAAAAGATATACTCTGAGTAATACTTTATAAATTATGTCTTTTAAAAAGAATATATCTTTTTTTTTTAGATAATTTTAGATCTGTAATATAAGATTTTGTATTTTTATTATTATGTTAGTTTTGTAAGATATTATTATTATGAAAATTTGCATAAATATAGTTTGCAAAATCATAAATACAATATAACTTTTGTGAAATATTTTTTAAATATTTATAATTTAGACTACCATTTGAGTTTACTAAAATTTTTTATTAAATATTTACAAAAACTTCTATTGTTAGCTACTAAAATGTTATAAAACATTTATTTGTTTCTAGATTTTAAGTTATTCTATATATTACAAGTTAATTATAATTTAAATTATATGTCATAAGGTTTTTAAACTTAAAGTTTAAATTATTAGTTTAATAAATTAATTAATAAATTAACTATTAAATTAATTATAAAGCAATAAATTAATTATAAAGTAGTAAATTAATTATAAAGCAATAAATTAATTATAAAACAGTAAATTAATTATAAAGCAGTAAATTTACTTATTTCTTTTAAAGAACCAGACAAGATTTTAAGTATAATAATATAGTACTATTTGGTTTTTGTGATTTTTTATATAAATAGTTGTTATTATTAAATTTAATTTCTTTAATTTTTTGTATATTAACTAACTAAATTGCAGAATATACTAAACTAAATTCTTTATTTTTAATTTTTTTATATAACTAATTTGTAAGATCAGAATTCTTTCTGCAAATTCTTTATACAAATTTTAACTAAAAATTTGTCTGTACAAAAACATTTATAACTATTTATTTTATTAAGTTAACTTGTCTTTGGCTCTTAAGTAAACTTGTTTAGTACTAAATTTTACATTTATTTTAAAAGTTTTAAATTTTTAGAATTTAGCTCATTGAGAAAAACATACTGATGACCTTTGGTCTTCAAAATTTATAATTTTTTTTTTTTTTTGTTAAAGGCCATATATGTGGTGATACTTTATTGACTTTATATCAGGTTAGCTATTACAACTATTTTTACAGGGATGAAAGTACAGCTAGTCATATGTGCAACTTTTGGTTACCTATTTAAGTAGTCTGCCCTAAGGTTCTACACTAGATGCCATATCTATAACTTACTAAGAGATTATTTATTTAAACACTTTGATCATCTGCCCTGTTATATTGAAATTTTCAACTAAACTCCCATATATACCTAACTGGTATACCATCTAAGCAGTATGGTACCTACCTTTTTTGTACTAGTTCTCAGGCTATTATACATTTCAGAATACATCACTTGCAAGTAAGATGCAAGAGGCCCTCTGTTGTTAACTATCTATCTACTTTTAGAACACTAATACAGACTATTCTTACAGAGTTCATCCAAACTCCAGTACTGACTTCACAGCATATTCCTAGTACTTTTAATATACCCCTGCTTTGAATTCAGACTCCCAATCCAGATAGCCTGAAAGAACTGTAACCTGTTCTTAGTATATTAAGACCAGCCCAATATCCTTTTTCTCTGGTTCGAAATCTAGTAACCTGGTTGGTAGTACTCCTCACCCAATATTCTTGCTCACCTGAATCCTTCACATTGGTATTCATTTCCTAGGTCTAGCCTTTATAGTAGTATTATCAAAGATTTATGTTATCTCTCTGCTTAGTATTTTTAAGTGGGCTCTGGCTTCATAGTTTTACAGATTTACATGGCCTGAAGACTTATTTTGGTTTTGCACTTCCAGTACTAGTTTGCATTCCTCTGTGTAACAGGTTGCATAGATGCCCCAAACCTGTCAGTCATGCTGGTGTGACCATAGTTACAGGTATCCTATTCTACCAGATTGACAGAATGCCATTGCTGTAATACCATCTATATATTATATAAGTAATTATCCAAATTTTACTGTTGGTGAGTTTTGAACTCACAATCTACCATTTGAGCATATGACAACTTATCTACTTCATTAAGTCACCATATCCTAAAAATTTATAATTTTAATCGTTATATAAAAGATATTGTCAAAATCTACTTTATACTTTTAAGTAAAAGTGTAAAGTACATTTTTCTAATCAAAACAAGCTCTAAACAAAAATTTTAACCAAATATTGACTAGACTACAGTCAAATTTAATTTTTATTTTCTTGTAAAAATTTTTTTTATTTTTTGTTTCTACTCTGGTCTGTTCACCTTTACATGTTTTTTATATAACATCAGATCACTTCTTAATTTATATTTAATTAAATTTATACTAAATTTACTAATATATTCTTAAATAAAATCTTACTTAATATACATTCTACTCTTTTTCATATTTGGTTCTAATTAATTTTACACAAAAATTGTACTTTGTACTAATACTACATTATACTGATAACTAGTATTTAGTTATACTCACTATTCTAGTTTATTATAAATTATAATTTTATAATATCTTATTATATAAAATTACACAAATCTATATTAAACTATATCTTATACTAAAACCTTTGTACTTGCTTATTATCCTTGCAAAATCATATACTTACAATTTTTATTTAACAAAATATTTTAAAAATGCCTATTCTTACAATAACTAAACCAGACTTCTATAATATAGATTATTATTATTCTAAATACAAAAGCTGTTATAAACTTGGTATAAATGAAGAAACTTCCAAATTACTCTGTGTTCTTTTATTATATATTAATCCTAATCAATATAAAAGTCTTAAGAAAAAATAACATAATTTCAAAGTTCTCACTCAACTGACTATTGGCATATGTTTATATAGTTAATTTTTACTTTTCACTACTATAAAATTAGTCCATTTATTATTCTTGGTCTCTCTAATATGCAAACTTCTCTAATTATTTTTACTAAACACTTTGAAAAAATCAGTAATACCTACCTGTATCTCCTATTATTAAACAACTTTCAACTCAATTTTTTAACTTTACTATATTTTTTCTTTATTCAATACCAATACTACACCAACTGCTATTATTTCTCATTCTTAATATATTCATATATGTGTTTTATATAATGTTAAAAATCTTTCTTGTGTTCTTTTTCAAAAAAAAAACACTTTTTAGATTATATTATAACAATTCTTTTTAGAACTCAGCTTATTTATCATAGTTGTAGTCACAGAATTATTGATATTAAATTATATTATCTTCTTTAAACTAAACCTTAATTTTAAGAACAAA